CTTCTTTTCCTTTTGTCATTCACTCTTGAAAATGATCTAAGTTGTGATCGAAAGCTCGAGTGTTTAAATAAATTCAGAAGAATTTTATTATGATTTTCATAGCAGTATTATACTTTATATTTAAAATCTTATCTTATTTAAATTTTGAAAAACGGGCAAAACGCCCCAAAAAAAATTAAAAAAGTTCTTTTCTAGAAAACCACAAGTCCGTAAACACTTGTCTTATATATTCTGAAGTGTGCTGTACAATGTGGCAAAGTTTGAAACAAATAAATCTAAATGGGAGGACTCCCTCCTTAAGGATTGATCGATATCTGGAGCATTTGTAAATTATGCTAATACTCATAACAGACCAAGTCTAAATCTCATATCGCTAGTAAATAGAGTTGCTAGAGCTGATTATGTTAAAATCGACTAATACTGAAATGAATATTGAATAACGAAGGTTAACAGTCAATAATCGGATTTTTTTATATCTTTCAGGCGTGGGGATAAACTTATACTAAATACTCAACCTGAAATCGGCTGTTTTTCTCGGAAATAATTGTTTTAAAAAAATCGGACCTTACCATTCGTGACATATCAGAAAGCTGAAACACAGATTAAAATTTTAATTGTTCTAATGCTAAAATTAGACAAATGGAACCAAAACAAAATCAATTGAGTCCAACCGTATTTCAAAATTTAAATGACGTTTTAGTCTTCAGTTTGAACCCTCAGTTTTGTAACCAATCGATAGAGCGCATCGAGATGTGTATGTGAAATGATTGTCATCGTTCTCGAACAAGATTTGGCCGAGAAATTCAAATTTGATCTTGAGAATGGATTTTGGGGGCCAACAGTGTGTGTTTTCGAGATAGTAACACCTTAGTCTGAATAAGTCTTTTGTGTGAATCACTGTATCTTGGGTAAAACGACTTTGCTTTTACTGAAGCAACATTTGCATAGAAATCGAAAAGTTTCCCGGACTTCATCTTGAGATATTACCGACTGTGGAACATACACAAAAGTTAATATTACATCTCCTGGAGTAGAGAGGTAACCACATGGCGCAAAGAGTAGAACAGGTAATCACATGGCGCTTCGAAGCCATAAAAAATCATTTTTCATGACCCCGTATTTCTTCGAACGCGTATTTCCGCCGAACGCGTTATACGGGGCGTACGTGAACGGATAAAAATACGCCCCGTGCTCTCCCACGAGAACGAGTAGAATGTAAATAAATTAGCCTCAGTACGGGGTCCAGACCGCGTATTAAAAATGGATACGGGGTCAGAACGCCTGTTCTTCAATTTTTTTAAGCTCTTGGAAGTGCTGATGGTTTTTGCTGTCTTGCTGAAAATGAAAATAAAATTTCTTTCTTTACGAGTATACGTTTTCATATTCGCATGGGAATTTTGAATTGTTTCTTGTCATTTTTTCCCAACAAAGTCACTGTGTTTGCCTATCCAACAGGGCCTTTTTAACTCACAAACTTCCTTTCATGTTGACACGTACCTACAAAAACATTTCCATCTATCGGATAAGGTTTGAGGAAAATTTTTGGATTTGACATGCCCAATCAGTTTTCGATACAAAAAGTGTTTTGAAAAAACCTTGCATAGAGTTTCGCTTCAGAAAAGGATTATAGCGGAAAACTGTGGTAAGAAAAATCGTTCAATATCAAATTCTACACCGGCTCATGAAGGGAAATTGTGAAATTTCAGAAATTCGATCTTTAAATCCAAAAATACCGTTTTTAAAAATTTAATTTAAAAACTAAAAACTTCCCCTCGTGAATCGGTGTAGAATGTGATACTAAACAATTTCTGTTCTGATAGTTCTATAATGCTTTCCTAAAGTGGAACTCTGTATAAGGTCGTGGACGATTTTGCGCTCTAAGACTCTGAAAAACTGGTTCCAGTCCTTTTCTTTGAGATTTTTCACAGATCCATTCGATTCCGCATGTGGAAGTGTCTATGTTCCACGTGTTGAAGATTTTCTGAACACTATTCTCTGGCTCGGAAGAGAAGAGAAAATAGCGTAAAAATTTTAGCGCCTTTTCTCCAGTCTCCACAGCGTCTGAGTATTTTCAATTTTAAAGACTGACCTTAAGAAACTTCTATGGTTTAAGCAAAGTATTAAACCATAGAAATAAACACGCTTCACAACTTCTACACTCATATTTCCGCTTCAAAATGCGTTCCCGCAGACACTGTAGGCAAGCTCAATAATAACATTCTAATACAAAATATGGATAATAAATAGCTCTTGGATGAAAAGTTTGAAAAAATGAATGTGTACCAATATAGAGCTCGAACAACATCCAATAATCGAAATTCGGGTGAGTTCGAAGTTTCGCAGAAGTTGTTCGATTTTGCAAGTGAACCTATAGGTAAAAGGGCAACGAAACTGAGAAATTCCTTTCATTAGAGCCTCCCAGTCTATATTTCTGAAACTAAAAAGTGATTTTAAGGCTATTTTCCTCCGAGCAAAATGAAAGATCCCTGTAGACAAGAGTAAAGAACAGCTGCGCAGGACCTAGAATTAAGAAGCAAGCAAACAGAAAAGAATGTCTTTTTCAATAAGCTGTCGATGCTCGAAACACTTACTGATGATAAAGTTCATCTTTCGAGCATCTTTAGCTCAACCTGTTCTATGCTTGCTTCTTAATTCTAGGCACCCCGGTTCGAATCATCGTCACAGCATAGTAAGTTGCTTTAGTTTCTTTCTTCCTTAACTTGCGAACCTTGACTTTAAGATAGTCGTGGATAGTCGTGTGAGAACATGGAGACTCTCTGTATACATCAGCTCGATTCTGAATTTAATTTTAAATTTTTTCAAACTTAAAAATTTAACGCGTTTCTATCACAAAAATGGTGCAAAACCGATACATTTGACCGCGTTAAAAACAAACGCAAATAAGGCGTTTTTCGAAAAGAAAACGACTGCCTGGGGTGGAACATACTCAAAAGTTAATTTGACATCTCAAAACACATTTTTCGTGGCCCTGTATTTGTTCGATGGAGAACGCGTGGTTATACGGGATACCCGTATTTATGAACCGTTCAGACCCCGTCACCCCGTGGCAAATGGGATGCGGACCCGTCTAATGAGAAATATTACGGGCCGTTTTTTTTAATTTTCGGACCCCGTCTTTTTATCCGTTTTTACGCTCTTGGGCTGCGAGAATATATTATACGATTCCAGATAGTTTTGATACATTAATTATAAATGGTTGGAATTACAATGTTCAGTTAACACAACTGAACCAAGAGTAAATCTCATCGACTTCATATATCGAAACGACTGCTTATACAATTTATAAGTTTAATTTTAATAATACATTTTCTTTACTTTTAAAAATCAATAATATAACTCATTGATTGATGTCAGATACTGATGACGCTGATATTGCACTTTGTATCATTTATTTTAAAACATAAATTCAACTTACTTCTAATGGTTCTGGTTATATTCAGACAACGAATCAGTTGATATTAAGAAATGGAACATTAACAGCGTATGAATCATTTTTCAGCAATACAATAAATTTAAACGCACATGTTAGTAATTTAAATTTTTATATAACCGTATCAGGTAGTTTAATACTGAGTGGCCGATTCTGTTGATAACTTTTGTGTTGAAGTAGTTAATTATATTAATATCGATTCAGTTGGACTTGATACAATCTATTATCGCGGAACATTAAATCAGTGTAATAACTGGCCTGGACGATTATTTTCGCTTTAAATTATCAAGACGTAACCAGTGAAAACTGCAGAACTTTTAAAATGTTTTTTCATGTTGAAAAATGCAGATTTTGTCAAAACTGAACAAGCAGTATGTACAAAAGAGAATGGATATGTTCGCTTATCTTTAGACAAAACCATTATAATGTGTATTTCGAAATTTTTAGTTGATTTTCAGTTTTCGGAGAAATCTCTGTAATTTCTCAACGTGAAAATTCGAAAAACATTAAAATGATAGAATAGAAATACACATTAGTCGACTCATTTTTTGGTCTTGATTCCTAATATGATATTTTTATTGCTCAAAAGTTGAGTTCTGACGGAGAAAATTGAGAATTACGAGCAGAATTCCGACTTTTTCGCGTCTGATAAATCCGGATTTGTTACTTATTGTTAGGTGCAGACAACGCAATCCTTCGTTAATCCGGCACAATTGCTTGAACACACCTTTATATGTTAGTGGATAAGACTGTAAACAAGATCTTTCATTTTTCTTTCAATTCCGCAGATGCAAATAGAGTCACGTTGTTTTTGTTCTTATCTCATGTTATCATCTAGGTTATTTTGTGTTCTTTCGCGCTAATTGCGTAAGATCGTGCGTTCTATGTGTTTAGTTGCAACTCTTTTTTTTCTGACTATATATCAACAGCTATGTTCTTTCTGCTCTATCTTCTACCATTGCTAGCTTCAGGACAATAGCTCCGCTGTGATTTCGAATCCGCCTGTCTCGACTTTCAATTGGATAAGAATTGGGGCAACTGACACGAACCGTGGCTACCGTCCCAGGTAAGAACGGATCCGATTGGTCCCCTCTGTCGATTATTCTTCCACCCGGGGAAAAGTTTGTAATCTTGATCATCGCCAATATTTCGGCTGTTCCACTGGTCTTCGACGATTTCTCAGTTAATTTTTGCTCGGGTTCTCAGCCTGATCCACCGCCACGCACACTGTATACGTGTGATTTTGAACAACCGTGCACGGACGGGATTTGGTCATTGCCGAATTATCCATATATGTGGCGACGGGATCAGGCTGGTGTGGCTAATTCCATCGATGCTCAAGCTCCAGCAGATGACTATACTTATGACGATTCAGTTGGACATTATTTTTGGTTAAACAATACCCAAATACTGCAAAAGGGTGCCGTTGGTTATTTTCACACACAACAATTTACATTCACCTTGGAACAAACGTTTTGTCTTAACTTTGAATACTTTATGTTCGGCCATGCGTCGAACAATAGTCAGTTGCGCGTTTGGGCGTGGACAGAAAATGATGGCTTAGTGAGAGGTTTGTGGCCGAGTAATAATTCAGGATCTTACGAGTAAGTCGATGATCTTTTATTCTTGACAGAATCAAAATGACTACGATGTATTTATATTCTTTGTTGCAGGTATGCAGCGAATAAATGGTAATGTCATTCGTAGTTTATGAAACGATTTGTCTGACTTTAGAGTCATTATCTGGATAAGTCGGGTCGCCATGGAGAGTTACTCAACTCTAATTTAAATTACAATTGCAGATTAGCGAAGAGTGCAGGAAAAGTGACCACTTTAAAAGCTTTCAGTCTTTTTTTGTACCTTCATCCAGATTTCGTCAGAGATATAGGGGCTGCTGGGTCTTTAAGGCAACCTTTAGATCCGGCCCGTATTTTCTCGAAGAGAAACTAATGAAAAAAGAATTCCAATTTGAGAATGTGATTTGTTTCGATGACCTCTGGCGACACGGAGAATAGAAAATTTTTATAGAAGTCTTCTAAGGTCCACCCGACAATTCACTGGCGACGTTTTTACGTTCGGTAGCTTTTTCTTTCCTGCACAAATTGGATTTTTAGCTAAAAATGCAAATCTAATTTTTGAAAGCAAGACTGGTTTTCAAACTTGAATTAAAAAAATCGTACACCTGTCCGATTTGCCTTGAAAATAACCCTTGCAATCATCAAGACAAGAAATGAGAGTTGTTTAATTTCAGGACCTGGGCCACGATAAATTTACCTGTTGGAACATACACTCTCCACTTCCGCATGGAGAGCAGTGATTATCTTGCCTCGACATTTGCCGTGGACCAACTCTCAATTGTTTCATGCTTGTATCCAGCGACATCCTTCGATTCCCACACATCGTTACTCACATTCTCGTGTTCATTCGATGAAGGCACAGCGTGCGGCATGCAAAATGGAGACAATGATTCTTCGCGACCGCCATCGAACAATTTCACTGTTCAGTCGCCGAACACTATCCCAGATCGAGATCTGTTGGGTCCTTCATTTGATCACACAACCAATTCGCCCAATGGCTCTTTTCTTTACTGGGCCACATCCTCGCCCTATATGCCATCGAGCCACGGGCGTATTCGAACTCTCATTGTGCAACAGAACACAGATATGTACGTTCGATTTGCATATTATGTGAAATCCACAGCACAGTCTCAGTTAAATTCGACCTCGCTACTGGTGAAGACGGGCGGCTGCTATGAAGCACAATTGTGGTTAACGGTCACAGACGACAGTCACGGATGGAAAATAGTGACAATACCTGTCTTGACATTTGCTTGTGGCGAGACATTCTTTATTGATGTCAGTCATCAGACACCGACAGCAGTGGCTGTGGCGTTGGACGATGTTCAAGTCGGTGAGTGCAAAAAGTTCGATCCGACAACCACACCCATATCGACCTCGATCACTTCTACACCCAGTACGTCGACCTCGATCACTTCTACAACCAATGCGTCGACCTCGATCACTTCTACAACCAGTACGTCGACCACGACGACTACGATTAGCAGCAGTCGGTCGGAGACGAGTGTTTCGAGCTCGACGGCAGTCACGACAACAACGCAGCTTCCAATAACGACAAATACGACGAAGCGTAGTGAGGCAGACAAACTGAAGGCAATAAATTTGATGTTTTTGCTGCTTTTTTTGTTGTCTTTTGCATCTGGACCATGACGGTTGCTTTATGTGAGATGTAATAAATTTATACCACTCGACATCCAGAGAGGGAGAGTTGTCAGATTTATTAAAATCTACCAATTATGGCCTAAAATTAACTTTCGATTAATTTTGCTCATTGTTGACTAATTATGGTCAGATACTGATAAAAACCCTAGATAGAGAGAATCCCTGGGCCACGGAAGTCCATGAAAAGTAGACTAATTATGGTGAAATATGACTTTGTTCAGACTAATTTTGATGACATTCCATACATAATGCTTTTGTGATTATATATCCGTTATGTAATACGCGTTAAAAATGACGTCTTGGTGATAACATGCTTTACAAAAGCACGAAACGGATTAGAACGTCAAAAAACGATATTTCTCGCTTCCAATAAAAAATCTACAGCAAGAAGTCTCTTAACTTCTAGTTTTCAACTGAATGCCAATATTGAGAGATTGTGGCTAATGAAATGAATTTTCAAAATAAAACGCAAACTGTCACCCCATCAGTGCCAGTAAAAAACGGCTGACGCATAAATAATCCTCAGGGTACAATTTGTGTGGAACAAGGCTTCGCCTAATGTATTACCGACATTTTTTAAATTCCTCCTATAATTCGAAGAAACTTTAATTACTGTGTTAGTGCCATTGGTTCACATCCGGAACCCTCTGACACATTGAGAAGCACTACATTTGAGTTTGCGACAAAAATACCAACTCATTGAATTTGCCGAGTTGAAGATTCAAGCTAACATTGCTACAGTGTTCAGCATAATCCATACGAATTTGAGCTCAACAGAAGGAAAAAGCGTGCTCTTGGGTGCTCTGATACTTTAGACTTAGCGCCGAAGCGAAGAAATCAAACTGTGTGCCATTGTATAGTCGATTTTAGACTACTCAATAAGTACATCCCGAATGAATATTTATTACCCCTGCTTGAACTAGTCAGCTGGTTTGGTCTACAAATACATATCGTCTAGCTATGCTTTGATATCCTGTATTGCACTTCGAAGAGTCAAATGACGATTGAATTCCAGTGATTTTCCTTCTACTCCTCGAAATACGCCTGTTTTCCAACGAGGAAAGACTGAATTTCCGACTTTGAAACTTCATAGAACTCCGACCATTGCCAGCGCGACTCCATGGGAACTTCGATCCATGTGGAACAATCAGGCGATAAGATCTTGCAAGATTGTCGTAATTTCATACAAGTTCTTACTGTCTGATCTAGCAAAATCAGACGCAAAGTCGTCGCCTCTGCTAATCTTACACAAATCGTTCTATAAGATTCTTGCAGGACCTTACCTCTTAATCTTGTATATTCAAACAAGATCATATATTAAGAGGCACTTTCTGAAGGAATCGCCCTAGAGAACGTACTTGTGCCCAAGTACTTGGAACAAGTACTCCGCTTGCGTAATGAAGCCGGTACTTGTCTTTTTTCCAGAAATAAATTTGTCTAGCGGATCTGTCCTAATCTGTCTTATCCAAGCACTGCTGATTTTAACCCTATTTTTAGTTAAAAAAAGAGTGTTTATAAGTAGTAAGTAAGCAAAATTGACATCTAAGACAAAAAGAGATTATACATAAGGCACTTACTTCTGAAAGTGGTGTGAAGATCACTTTTATATTCGAACCTTTTGCAATTTTGCATCTGCGTTTTAACTTGTCTAAAGCAGAATTAAAGCATTATGTTCCCGAAGAGAAAACGGGGTAAATCCGATAGCACCCAAAACGAGAAAGTGTCGGCTTCGAAAAGTGAGTGAAGTGCAAGCTGTTGAAGACTGCATTACTACAGCTAAAAGATTGAAAAATAAAAAGTGCTGTAAGTTTGAATTGCTGGCGACTTAATATCTCCGATAGTTTTAGTGATGTAACTTTTTCTACTTCGTACAATATTGGAATAGATACTCTGAAAAATCGGTTTTTTGTGCAGTATTTGGTTAACAATGTGTCCGTAACATGCATCTACCTATTTTTCATGGTGTATAAAATAGAAAATTGAAGCCTTTAAAAATGAGATCCAAAGAATGAGTTCTTAACCATTTCTTGTTTATAAAATATTTCCATAGTGCAATGTTAAAAGTGCATTAAAGTGAAAAAGACAAATTGTATGGGCATTTTCAAGTAAAGCTACGTACAGGACAGTATCAGCTCTGCATAGCCATATGCATTAGACATAATATCCAGTACCATTTACCATTGTCTCGGTGAATAAAACCATTGTTGCAAAGGTTTGTTTAACAAAAGCTTTCATAACGCATTAAATTGACATATGTCCTGGAATATTTCTGTATTATCAGATAGCCGTTGTGCTAAACATTACGTTGAACAACAATTTCTTTCTTCAACGTATCGTTTTCGTCACCGGATGATGCAAGAATGGCATTTCTTCGGTATGAGAGCGGTTTCAGCTTCTCCTACCATACATATTCTAGGAGAAGCTGAAACCACTAGAAACTTGCCCTTTTTGTGTTGTATGTCGTTCTTGAAAATGTAGTTTTTGTCAATATTTCTTCATTTTGATACTTTATATAATCTTCTTAATCAAGAAGTATATTATAATCATTATCGGTACATTTCTGTATACAATTAATGTAGTACAATTTATGATGAATATCAACTGCAAAATACAACAAAATATTTCCAGTTAATGAACTCGATTGAAGAAATTGTACACATAGTATTGAACTGACTAAATCTCTATTCTTGACTAGATCGAGAACTGTGCTATTTTATACAAATATACTTCAGAAATCGCCCAGTGTGGAATAAGAAACAGTCACGTAAAACCTACGTGCTAGGATCGTGAAAGGTTTCAAACCGTATTTGAATGATCTGAAGACTAATTGCATACGAAGAGTTTCCTGGAGCTTCTTTAGATTTTTTTACAAGTGTTATAGATCAAAGTTCTGTGCGTTGTACAGGATAGAAAAACCTAACTTTTTCCAGCTGCTAAGATTAAACAAAACATGAAATTTTAAACATTTATCTTGCGAGAAAATGGTAACTAGTGCTTCAAAATATCCTTTTTTGTGTTTTTATGAACTAGATTAATGACGGACTCTAGTGAATGTACTCAAATGTGAGCACTCAAAAAGTACTCTGCAAAAAGAACCGGACGAGTACTCATACGTACTCATACATTTTTTTACTCACTGAGTACTCATGAGTGAGTAACGGGTACTGTTGGTACGACTTTGAGTACTCATATTGGGGTATTGTTGAGTACTCATACAACTTTCGAGAAAATACTCATGAGTATTATTCATCTGATATTTTCATATAGAGGAGTGATCTCAGGTAGCCAGAGTAGGACTACAAGTCTATCTCTGACTATATACAGAGAGACTAGTGAGAAAATAATAATNGTTTTATTTTGTTAAACTGAAACCGTATAAAGAATGTAGAATTTAGTGAGAAAATAATAATATAAATATTCTGTGTTTCTTCACTAAATTCTACATTCTTTATACGGTTTCAGTTTAACAAAATAAAACGGTGAATGAATATTTCCTGAGTACTCACATAAGTAACTGAGTACTACAATACAAGATGAAAATTTGCTTAGTATAGGATATAATACACATTGAACTTCATCTAGCTTTTTCTTTACCCCCGAAATTCGCGAGTTCTACAATATCCGCAGGCAAGTCGCTTCATGCGCGTAAACTGAAAATTTAAAGTTGAGGTATGGTGGAAGACTTCTGAAACTACAGCTATTACCACTAACTAAGCAGTATTGATTCAAAATGCACATACCGCTAACACCCGACACTGCTGTAGTTCCAACATTTGAATTTCGAACGAACTTCAACACCTGACCATTGTCAGGGCCCGAACTGTACATTGTTCCATTAGTGTCGATTATTATGTCGAGAGGATACGGTTTTGTGGCAAATCCGTTACCGATTCCGCCCGCAAGCGTGACACCATTCGATGCCCATATGGCTGAAGAACAGACGGTAGCTTGTGCCAAAATTTTCAGAATGAAAATGCTACATGAAAAGCACTAATAAAAAGAAATAGTATTAGATAAAGAGCAATCTTATAAGAATAGTATTCCATATAAGAATCTGATAAGAATAACGTACGAGTTTTGTTGACTCTTACCAATTTCTTATGAATCCTTGTGAGATTCTTATAAGATTCAGCAGAAATCTCGTCACTTTTATGGAAGATCTTATATAAGAATTGAGTAAGATTCTTACATGCTTCTTACAAGTTTCGTATTGGATTCTTATATAAGAACCGATGACTAGGGTGAACAAATTTTATCGCTCATATTAATTGATGTGATTCAAGATTAATACGTTGACGATCAAATACTCGAAGCCGTGGCTGCAAAGCATTTTCTGTAGCAGCGTTCTTTCCATTAATATGTAACAATGTATCTGTAGAAGTCGCTATTTGTAATGTGACTGTTTGTCGCAATGATGAAGCTGTATATATCTCAGATACCATTAACTCCGTTATTTCTTGCTCTTGCTCTGACTCGTTGTCCAACAATTTTCCAGTTAATTTGTTATTACAACTAGTATAATCCTGCTCTTCCTCCGCAACTGTTTTCGCCCCTGAATCTAATCTAAATTCTGTTGGATTGATTATAACTTGAACGTAATGATGAATGAAAGCAAACTGGAATAAGTAAATAGATTCATGGCATGTCGTACCTCACTTGGTTCTAAGCCAAAATTAACTGAACCCCGCGTACTAGCAAGCGTTCTACTATATGCAGCCTTGATTCTCCGAAAGCAGAAAACATGAGGCAGTGGTACAGAATAAGGATGATGAAAAAAAGAATGCTAAATTTCCGACTATGAATGCAGCCTTTTTATAGGCACAAACTGCATAATTCAGTAATAAGTACGATGCTCTCTAGAAAGGGAGGTTTTTGTATTACAGTTTACAGTTTTTATAAGGAAAAATACCTTATTTGCTCAACTGTGAATCAGGATTATACGGCAAAAATGCTTTTCTACACATATGCCATATCAGGAGTAAGCAGTACGGCAGCGATGTTCAATTTGGTGCTTCTTTCGTCAACAGTATCGTCCGACGATTTTTCGTCGAACTGATCAGCGCATGCAGAAGCGTTATTCAAAGCGAAGGACTCTATGAATGTCCACATTTACCTTGTAATTTGAAATTTTCTACGATTTCAGGGGTCATTCGAAAAGAAATTAAAGTATTTTGAAATATAATCGCGTTTGCTCTTTATCAGTTTATAGTCTTTCCTCGTTTCCTTTTTAGCGTGAGGGTAAAGGGTGGTGATAGTTCATCTGCGTGTGCACTGCTTGTGATGCCAAATGTATTAGAAAGAGTCGAATAGAATCGACAACTGTTGTGTACAGCAACCAAAGGACAACATTTCATCACGTGTATACTTTCATCATAACACATTCGTGAGGCAAAGTTTTAGAGTGCGTTTTCTCTTTTGTTTCTTTCTTTAATGAAATCTTACTTCACACGGTAGTGAAAACAAATTTCTTCTCAGCATTCTCTCGTTTACATCACAAACAATGCTACGCGCAAAGTACTCCTAGAGCAAGGTTGACACCCTTCGGTTTTTTGTTCATTATAAGTAAACAGAATTTATGATTTCTTACTCAATCACGCGTCATTGTCAAAATAAATTTCTTTCCAAGTTTTTTATTTTTTGCATGTGTCACTCAGTCAAAGTCGCTTATTCTCTAAAAACACACCAGTTGTGAAGAAAAAGACCAGACATTTCAATCGACAGTTTTTACTCGGTCAAACTTGTAATTCGATCAACTTTCATCTAGATGGAACGCGAGCGCATAAGGCCCCAGTTTTCCTTTGAAAAAATTTCTTTATAGCAAGAATGGAACATTATGTTAGATAGAATGGCCAACATAACTTTTGCGAAGAGCGACGACAGCATCTCTGCCCACTATGCTCTCTGAAGGGGACTACAAGAAATGTGAGCGCCCATTTTCAAAATCTAACGATTTTTGACCGCGTGTATGTTTACATTTGCTTTCCTTGCAACGGTTGATTACACGTTCGTTTTTTTTGCGTCATTCATTCATCTCTGCCTTGTTCATTTCGTCGCTTCGCTTTATCGTTGTTCTTAAATGACACTTGTTACCGACTCGCCAATCTTTCTAAACCACGCCTACATAAATGACTTGTCGCAATGAGATGAGAATATGACGGACAGAAGAACTATGAGGAATGTGATGCCGTTTTGAGGAATTTCTACATGATTTTCAAATCTTAATCATACTGCATTAGAAACAGCTTGTCAAGATGTCAAGAGGTCCCTGCCATAAGAATTTCGCGTGGACACACCATAAGACTACTGAGTTCGAGGTTAACAATTTTTCATATGGAAGTGTGGATCTCAAACAGACTCGATATCGGCTAATTATAAAATGATGAATGAATGAAAGTATATAGATTTCATTCTTTTACCGTTGGATAGAGCTCAAAATCTTGCGCTTTCCGAATTCCATTGTGAAGCTGAGCATCCAGCAGAGCTAACTACGGAAAAATATTGACTCTAGCACCTCTAGAAAAACCTGTGATAGGCTTGGAAAATTACGTTCCGTTTTTCAGCCATGGACATTGCGTAAGTTTTTGTGAATAGATCTTCTGTTTTAAAAATGTTTTAAGACCATTTTCTAATTCAGTTTTCAATGCTGAATCATGAAAAGAAAGTTAGAACATTCCATCTTGTAACATAATTTAAAAAACGAATTCCAAAAAGATCCAAAAATTTGGGTTCTTGACCTATTTCGAGTTTTTGGACTGGAAACAAGTGTCAAAAAAATCGAGGAACACATATTCGTGATCAACGCTATCTCATCTATCGAATGGTGTATAAAAAAGCGAAAATAAATTTCACTGCAAGTTTGCTGCCGTGTATCTTACTCTAGATAAATCTATTATTCTACATAAAATAACCTAATGCGTTCACAACAGTTTTTCAACGGTGATTTGCTACGTGTATTGGCAATCCATTGTGCCGATGACTATTACTTTTTTTTAATTAACAATATCTGTTTGAGTCTTGCATTCATGATCACTAACATGCACTAAACGGGCAAAAGGAAAACAATGGAACCATTTTGTGGCTATTCCTAATTGTCTATGTTGCGTTTCTTCAGATAGCCAAGTACAATGCTTTGCAAGTTTTTTTTTCTTGACTATCTGTGATGCTTATTTCAGGTGAGTAATAAATATAGATTAAACTAAAGAGAAAGAGTCCATCACATCATTCAACTGTTTACACAAATATACGACATAAAATTTAATATGTAAAATAGAAATACTCACACTCAAGTGCTTTTGAAGAGATAAAAGTGGAAAAGAAATGGAAGGGTAAAACAAGAATAAACAAGAAAAAGACGTAAACATCCAAAATTGCATATTTTTCAAACCATCAAACTTTTCGATGTTTCAAACTTTTGATGTATTAGTCATACAGAAATAAAGTTCGGATAACTTAGAAGGATCAGGACTCTGTCTCTTGTTAGAGGAATAGATAAGGTAAAGTAAAAAAGTTATTGAGAGTTACAGTTTGCCAGTTAAAATAATCGTATTTTACGCTGAAGCGGGTAACGCGGACTGTCCAACAGAAACTGCTTCGCTGTTTCAACTTCCACAGAAGCACAAAACTTATCAACGGTTAGATTCTTACTGTATAAGTTGTAGTTTAACTGGGAAACATTTACACACATTTGAATTAAAAATATATTGGAATGTCGCTCAGAAATTTTTAAATATCTGCCATTTGTAATGAGAACAAGCGAATGAATTTACTTCTTCAGGAAAACGTTCACATGTTAAACTTTGATGAATTTCCACCAGCAATGTTTTCCATTGCTTCAATGACTAATAGAAATTTTTCTTAGCTTGCACGATATAAAAGTTGTCGACTTGTTATTTGAGAACGTAGTATCATGCTAATTATTGGTTGCTTAACATTTTTTCAATGAGAAACGATGTTAAACCGAGTTTTGTTTTTAAAAATAGAATTATTATTTTCTGTAATGAAAAGAGATGTTCAAACGGCGGCATCCATCCTAAAATGTGTTCCTTGCAACTGTGATAAATAGTATTGATCATATTTAGATATATTGCAAATCATCCTGTAGTTCTAGATATGAGAGTATAGTAGCTTAGAAAATAAATCTTTCAAACAGGTACAGCTCCGAAGTCAATACAAAAAGAAAACTGTACGTATTTATTTCAAATAACTATATTTATTGAGATAAAAATTAGATGATGAGTTTGTCTACCAAAATAGTTCTGTTGGATGTTCAATTATTGGTTCATACGTTTCTTGTTCATCTTTTTTCCGATCTGTATCTTTATAAAAATACATTCCAATAAGAATAATTGGTAAAGCGCCGATACTAAATCCAATATCCCATTTATTAAAATTTCCAGCTTGTGCCCATGCATTAATTTTTGGAAAAATAAACCAAAATGATGTTGCTAATATGGGTGTTAACGATGTTAATATTGATAACCAATTAGCAGATATATGATCTGTTAAAAATGTTCCAGTTATATATGTACCAATATAAGAAAATATAAATAATAAACCAGTTCCCGATGATTTTGGACAACGTGATGATGTTGGTGATGGTGGCATTGTATTAAAAAAACATCTAAAACCACCTGAAAATGATTCCCAAAATTTATCAATTGTTAATGATGTACCAAAACCAGGTATTAAATCTAATCCAAAACATAAAGCAATTGCAATAAATTGAAATAAACTTTCAACAGCTTGAAAATAGATAACAGAATATCTTGTTGTTACATTTCGACCTTGTTGTTTTAATTGTTTCATTTCTTGAGTATATTTAACTTGTAATACTTCTTGAAATATATTCATTAGAGCAGCAGGTATTGTACCAATAATAAATATAAATGGCCAATACCAACCATGTTTTAATTCTGTTGTTGATGTACCATCATGTATACGTTTAAATGTTGGTACTAAACTAAAAATAATACCACTAAATACAATACATGCTGATAATATATGATACCAACGATAATATTTATTTTTTAATAATATTTTAGAAAATATAAATGTAAATGGTATCATTGATTGTATTAAAATAGCTGTTAATGATGGTGGTACACGAGATGCATGAGAACTAAATACAATTAAAAAACCATTTAATGCGTCACATATACCAACTAAAAACATATATGGAATCCATTTTGGATTTAACATTTCTTTGGTAATTTGTTTTTTATAATATAGAACACATGCAACGGGCCAAAAAAATAAATTAAATGAAAATGAACAAAAAAATAGAACAAAGTAAACACCAGTTAAACCTTGAAAACTACCTAAAAATAATGTTAAACCAATTGATTGACCAGTTGATGCTAGAACATTTAATACTGATAATACAATAGCAACTAATGTAAAACTAAATAACCAACGATGACCAATTGTAAAACCCGGATGTTTTTGTGGCGGCTCCCTTGGAGAAAATGTGGGTATTACTTCATGTAATACCCAAATCGGCCTTTTCTCCTGATTTAATGATGAATACATGATGGTAGCCCTAGAGAACAGGAAATGAAAACATTTGCATTGGGCATTTTATATATGTACTTTTGCACCATAGGCAATGAATAAGGTTTTTTCTTGCTAGGTGTAATCGTCAATAGAAGAAATAGATAAGAAAAGAACTTCGTAAATGATGGTGAAAATAGAAATAACCTTGAAAAAAAAGAATAAAACATCCGTAAAAAGTAGGGCATAGGTTTAAACAGAAACGCAAAAGAAAACATTACTGTTATTTTATAAAAATAAATTCAAGTAGGAGATATTACAGATTTAGTTTTCTGATATCTTGGTTATTTTTGACAAATAGTCATGAGTTCACAGTAGCACAAGTAGAAACAAGCAATTAAACAAGCTAAAAACAAGGTCTAAACAGCTAATACAGAAATGACTAAAAGATCAGTAACATATTCTGCCGAGTACCCATAAAGATATCAATGTGACCGGCAGCCTTTGTTTTACGATTATGACAGAAAACGCAGAGCATCCAGCTCATAGTGTCGGTCACGGAGCCTTGATGTCATTACTGGTTGATATCATACAAATGATGGTATTACTGATATAATAAAATGTCCGTTAATTAACCCTTTAAGTACGGGATTATTTTCTCAAAAATAATTCCTCAACAGTAGCGACTCCCCTGTAACTCAAGAACCGTAGTAGTTAGGAGCTTCTAATTTTGTGTCCATAGCTCTTATCCAATGCTGATCATCCACCATTTTGTGGCTCTTTTACTGGATAGTTCACAGGATATAAACGTTTTATGTCTTTTCCGCAAAAAATATTAATGGCTCCTAACCTGAGAGAGATGAAAACTTTTCTTTCTACAAAAATGCAGCCATGACTCTGCTTTATCGACAATATGCATTTCGTGAGCTGACTGTTAGGAGTTGGTAAAATACAGCTATTTTACCGGCGTGGGTGTTGTTGTTTTTTTGAAAATTCGAGGTTCTTTGTGAAAGAAATTCACAGTTCCGTCCAGAAGCATCATTTTGACTTCAAATTCACACCAAAGACGCTACAGTGCCTGTAGACTATCTAGCCAAAGTATGAAGGTTAACTGTTGTGAACGCATTAGGTTATTTTATGTAGAATAATAGATTTATCTAGAGTAAGATACACGGCAGCAAACTTGCA